AAAATTAAAAAACAAACTGACAACCTTGATTTGGGTTGATTTGGGCCTAAGATAGTGAGTGGGGAAGCACTTGTATCCATTCTCCCTTTATTTTCTACTAAAGAAGGTAATATGGAAAAGGATTTAAAAAAAAATCACTGAAACATGTGAATGTAAGGATCCACTTTTCTCTGTTTTATATATTTATACATATATATAACATAAATCTATGTATATAATTAATTTATTTTTAGACAAGGTCTCACCCTGTTGCCCCAGCTAAAGTACAATGGTGTCATCATAGCTCACTGCAACCTCCAACTCCCAAACTCAAGTGATCCTCCTGCCTCAGCATCCCAAGAAACTGGAACTACAGACTGTTACCACCATGCTCAACTAATTTTTTTTTCTATTTTTTGTCATGAAAGGTTTTGCTATATTCCTCAGGCTGATGTCAGACTCCTCACATTAAGCAATCCTATCACCTGAGCCTCCTAAAGTGCTGATTATAAGTGTAAGCCACCATGTCCAGCCAGTTCTTATGGTTATTAAGTGTCAAAATGGAGATTCGATTACTACACATGAATTTTATCCACTATGCTTCATGTCTTTACTAAATGCTTCCAAATGTTTATTATGGCATATTAATTCCCAGTATTATGAAGAAAAGCTTTGCTTAAGAAAGGACTCAACGGCTCGGCGCCTAAAGCTCAACCGGCTAAGGCGCCAGCCATGTACACCTAAGGTGGCAGGTTCGAATCCCCAGCCCGGACCCGCCAAACAACAATGACGGCTGCAACCAAAAAATAGCCGGGCGTTGTGGCGGGCACCTGTGGTCCCAGCTACTTGGGAGGCAGAGGCAAGAGACTCGCTTGAGCCCAGGAGTTGGAGGTTGCTGTGAGCTGTAATGCCACTGCACTCTACCCAGGGGGATAGCTTGAGGCTCTGTCTCAAAAAAAAAAAAAAAAAAGAAAGGACTCAACAAGAATTGTATAGAAAAATTAGTCAGGTGTTGTGGCACATACCTACATTTCCAGCTACTCAAGAGGCTGAGGCAGGTGGATCACTTGAGCCTTGGAGTTGGAGGTTGCAGTGAGCTATGATGACACCATTGCACTTTAGCCTGGGCAATAGAGTGAGATCCTATATCAAATTTAATTAATTAATTAAATAACTTCAAGAACTTAGAAAGTCACTTAACTGCTTTGTGACTCAGTTTCTTCATCAGTATAATATGCAGTAATAGTATCTATTTCATAGTCTTATAGAGGGTTTGTATGACTTCATACATGTAATGCATTTAGACAAATGTCTGAGAGAGAACCTAGAAATTAAGAGGGGCTTAAAAGACCTACCAACTAAATGTAATATATATGGACCAAGAGACATGTCTATCAAACACAGTACAGGGACCTTCGGGGGATCCTGATTAGAACAAGACAAGTGGGAAAAAATAATGAAAACAGTTGGTAAAATTTCAGTACTGACAGAGCTATCAGGTAATTATTGTTATATTTTAGGTGTTAATAGATTGTGTTATTATTTTTTAAGGATCTTTATCTTTTAAAAATGAGTATTGAAACATTTAAGGCCAGGTGACATGGCTCACACTTGTAATCACAGCACTCTGGGAGGCCTAGCAAATCCCCTGAGCTCAGGAGTTCCAGCCTGAGCAAAAAAAAGGAGACCTCATCTCTAAAAAAAAGAAAAGAAATAGCCAGGGCAGCAGGCAACTGTAGTCCCAGCTACTCTGGAGGCTGAGGCAAGAGAACTGCTAGAGCCCAAGAGTCTGAGGTTGCTGTGAGCTATGATGCCATAGCACTCTACCAGGGGCAGCAAAGTGAAACTGTGTCTCAAACAAACAAAAACAAATAAGTAC